AATCGTAGAAGTGGGTGGTTATCACAACGTGCACGGATCCCTGAACGCGGGTCATCGCGAGAACTATATCCAATCCGTTACAGACAGAACAAGAAAGCGAGAAATTCTTGCTAAGAGGAAGGATGTATCAAGACGTTTCAGTCATTGGCTACCATCCAAAAGCAGCCTAACAAAGGCAAACACAGTGAAGCTGACAAAAAAAATCCGCCTATGATAAGATCAAGAGAAAATGGACGAAGACCGGCTTGCCATTTTAAAGGGGGCGGTTACGTTTAAGGTTAGACCTCAGGTAAACTTCTGACGAAACATCCCTAACTAGCTAAATGGTCTTTGCGTGGGCTCTTTGGAAAACACAAAAACCAGCCACCTTTTCTCAGAAAGCAAAGAATTATTTCCTTGACATGAGCTGGACAGGGGAGGAAAGTAGTAAGGCAACCGCCTCTAACAAGGCAGAAAATAAGGAGTGACCTTGCAAATTTAGACGAAGACTGCAGGAGAGGGTACAGCTCCTATTAAGCTAAAAAAATAATAAAGATCTTTGCATCTCACTTTTTAAAGTTGTCGAATATTTGGATGAATCGAAAAGTCTAAAAACTCAGTCGTTTATTTGCCTCTGTTGATTGACAAGCCGTCAATCAAATTGACTGATACTTGAGGTGGACATTAACTAAGGATCAAGAAATACCGAGGGGTGGTCTATATCCCCCCCGGAAAAAACCAAAACAGAAACCAGTTTGTCTTTTTAGTTTTGGGGTAGATCCTTTAACCTGGCAAAGTTTCGTTGAAATCGGTGAGATTGAATGTAGCACGACTGCCCGGTGCTACATGCCATTTTTCTCGAATTTCTTCGACAGTTTTTACCAACAGAATTCCAACCTAGAGTTGATTTGAAAATGTATCTAAACAGGTGGACTACACAAACATACTGTTTTACAGTGACAGTGGTAGAAATCTACAAAAGCAACCGAGCAAAACACCGAGGTTCATGCACAATTAAGCGAGTATTTTCATGCGACAACTACATGTTTCGAATATTTTAAGTGTGCGAAGATTTTATTTAACTCACGCTCACGTATTTACAGCAACATTTATAATTACATGTAATTTACTCTAAAGTTATGCCAGTGGGATAGATTGTAAATTTAAGAACAATATATGCGACGGGCCAATTTCAGCTAAAAACACGTCGACAGAGCTGGTATCTTTGTAAACAGCGATTTGTTTATTTAGCACTCGAGAAAAGTCAACTCAAAAACTTTACCTAAAACGGTGGTTTGTTCACTTAACAATACAGGTAAGTTAATTTTTAAGTTAAAATCGATATATTTAAATGAATCAAAACTGAAGTAGAGACCAAACACGTCGAGTTTTGTCCCAATAGCGTGCGATTTGCAGTAGGAGTACAGCAAGGAAAATGGCCTAACTCCGTGAAACTGCACGCTATATATTTTGGTCTGGCGCGCTCGCTTTTCACGGGCCAAAAACAATATTTTACACGATAAACACGATGAATTTCTCGTTGAAAAGAGCTCTTTTATTTTATGTACATTCGTATACCCCCGATGTTATGGTCGTCTGAAATATAGCAAAATTCAGCGTACAAACGGAATAGAAAATATAGGGTACTTTACGCGGGTGGTTACAAACGAAAGAAAGTTCAGTTGGAGATGAAATATAGTTGCAAAGCTACTCCAAGGGATGAAAAACAACTTATGAAAAAATGAATCCAAGATAATTTTTCTTTGTCTTGTTCGAGCTTTGTGAAAATGCACTGAAAGCCCAATAGAAACTATGCAAATTAGGTACATTTTGGCAGATTTCGAACTTTCGTATTTTTTTCCAAAATAAAAACTCGCTGGAACTTTTGAATGTTATTTTTGAAAACGATTCACCAAAAGGGACTTTTTGAGGAAATAAAAAAAAGGTTGAATTTTTGCTTCTGTCGGCGGATTCTCGAAAATTACTGACAACCTCTCTTAATAAGCATATTAGCAAAGTTTGTTTTGTTCGAATACAATCACGTGGTTATTGTAATAGAAAGCTCATACAGAGAATCAGATTTTTATGATTTGGGTTGAGAGAGACTCGGTCTTACAAAATTGATGAGTCAGTATGATATAATTATGTATACAGTATCTATGCTAAGTGAAATCTCTTCATTAAATCTTTATTTAAGTTGTTAATCAATCTCTTACACTAAAAAATTGAAAGCTACTTTTAAGCAACTTTTGGATTTTGGGACAACTTTTGAGCAACTTTTAGAGTTTTGGAGCAACTTTTGAGCAACTTTTTGAGAAAATTGGAGCAACTTGTGGACAGCCCTGGGGAGGGGGAGGAGGAGGAAATATTAGAGCCATGCATCATTGCAAACAGGGATTTTCTATACATTTCTTGTAATGAATAATCAAATAAAGTAGTGTAAACAACGTAAAAATATGTTTAAATCTCTTCTTTTTGCTTCAAAACTTTCTTCATTTTTTATTTGACTTTGGCAACTGTCTCGTAATTGAGTGTCTGAGTATCTTCTTTAGTTGTCCATTGTATAAACTTCTGTAAAGATGCAATGAAAAGGAAAACTAGCTTTTGAGAAAACCCACACAATCAGGAGACACCAAGACACTTAGTTCTCTTCTTCTTTATCACATTTTCTATAACTGACCAAATTGTGTCTCTCTCTAAAGTACCTTATTAGTGAATATGTGGGTAACGTGTTGACTGTCTTTGCAGAGTTTAACCCCTTGTTCAAAATTCTGACCCGGTCAAATGTATTTTTATACAAGTTCACTAAACACATCCAAACATGACCACCGACGAACATCTTTGTTCGAAAAACAAGCCTGAAAAATAGAGTCAGCACAAACTATATTGTTAAAGTAAAATTACGAGTTCGTCCTTGCAGGCTTCTGAACTTGATAAGACTCGCACAACGACTATCCAATAATTAGCGAAAATTTTTATGATTGAAATTAAAAAACTCAAAATAAAGTATTCAACACGACCAGACCAGTTCAGAAACAAAAATCCATGTTCGAGTAATCGAACAGCTAGAAGATAAAGACAACAGTCAAACCTATTGTAAAGGGGTAAGACTGGCACAATCTTTGCATGCTAACCTTAAAAAACCTTTAATCGTAATAGCACTTTACAACGCTCTCTTTTTCCATAGAGACCTTTTCAAAGGGAGGTCGCATCCAAAATCTCCCTGTATTTACTTATTAATATTCAACAATTTAATCTACAAGAGCGGCTTTCAGAACATAGCAATCGGGAACTAAGAAGGCAGTGGCGTTCTGTGCATCGCAAAGAAATTAACTGAACCGGTACCTTTGGCTAATGTGTTTGGGGCTCTAAAATGCGCAACTATAAAGGAGACATAAAACCTATATTTAGCTCTCCAAGATTACACTTAAGTAGACCTAAAGGCCTTGATGACTACTTCAGCAAGAAACAATAACAAGGTGATACTAGAAAAACCAAATGTGCCTTTGTTCCAGAGGTACATCAGCGAGGGTTTGCGGACACATTTACAGGTTATATTGCTGTCGCTGCCATCCTCGGAAAAGCAATATTCCCAATCACCCTTTCCTGCTATAAAAATAAAGTGCCAGCTTAGGGGGTTAAAATGAAAGCGATAATTATTTTAAAAATCAGCTCCATCTTCATTTGCCAGAGGTATGCAATCAATGGCCTTTTTGAGGAATTTGATATTTGTTTTGTCGTGTTTACCGAGACGTTCCTTGTTTTGTATTTTTTTTTTCGACCTCTTCTCCAACAGCAATCGCGGTTATTTTCTTCACGGGAATTCTTATTTTTTCTGGATAATCCAAAAATTATATAGATGTTATCAATATTGGGAGAAAAATTAGGGTGGCGAAAGAAAAAGAAAACAGTAACCAAGTCAACCCACAAGTATCGTCAGAATCGCTGGGGAGTCGAGCTAAGGCCACAACTACATGTGAGAAGGCGAGTGCTCCCGCTCCACCTACTAAGGGTCTCCTTCCCTCCCCCCTCGAAAGTTACTGAGGAATATTCAGGCAGTGTTGATTGACGATCTTATCACTATGCTGGACTGGCTTGTAACGCAGCTCCCAATTTTAGGGCACCATGGGAAGGTCTGATGTTCAAATTCTTGACGAAGTCTCACATTATTCTTTTCAAGTTCCCAGCTGCTTGCTCGTTTTAAAATAAAGTGCATATTTTCTTTTGGTACTCTGTCGAGGGATTGCCGAGCTCCCCTTAAAAATCTCATTTTTTCTCATTGTCCCCATCTTGTCCTTATGACACTTGAAACCTAAAAAACAAAATGAACGCCCCATTACCTAGAGTTCTCACTTGGATTTCAGCCGAAACTAACATCGTGTGCAACAGAATTAAAGGAAACTGTGAGGGAACGATTGGTTAGTATCGATGAGAAAATTATGAATAAACAAACCAAATTAGTACATAGAAGACAGGTGAATTGCGCTTTTTTGCGCGCCCTAATTAGCCAGATCGCTAATTAGCTAGATCGCTGGTAATGACTGTGAAATACCTCGTTTGACAACGACAACAGCAAAAAATTTGCTGGATAGTTCTGAAAATTGAACTCTATTTCTCTACACTCTTCTGAGATGTCCAAGCCCCTAAATATTAGCTTCATTTTCTCTTTTCCTTTTCAGTTGTTGGTTTTTTTTTCTTTTTGTTCAAGATTGTATTATTTCAGAAGAAATTTAGAGGAAAAAGAGAGAACAAATGTTACAACCTTAAAGGAGATCGGGTGGCCAAGTGGTTAGTGCGCTCCACTCTAAACGGAAAGAGACAATTCTTGGTCCTTAAGCATTTCTTTTGCTTTAATTGTGTATGTCATAACCGAAGGCTCTTACAAATCTCCTTTCAAAACAGCTAATTATAATCTGAACTAGTTAAAATTAAATCATTATCACGAAAACGGTTTGCATATACACGGAACGGTTCTTGTAGAAATTAGTTCCAATTATCAATTTCTCATGAAATTACTCGGATTACTACAGTAACTTTTATGAAACCGTATATAGGTGTTTGTATTATATTATATAATTAGAAATACGCAAATTCGTTTTAAGCGTTTCATGTTTTCATGCGTTTTTCATGTTATGAGAGAGATTATATTCTTGATTCTTTCTGGATTGCTTCATCTTCAGGTGGTAAGACGGCATCTGATGTTTTGATGATGAGACTTGAAGGCAACCGGCTGCTTTTTCTACTGACGATCCTGGTAAATGCTGTATTTATCTTGGTGCTCAGAAAAATGTACAGCCATGGGTTAACGGCGCTGTTAGCGTGTCCAAACCAAAAACACACAAAGCTGACAATCGGCTGTATATGTAGGTAAGCCTTAGATGCGTGAATGATTTGCATCATGTGGACCACTTGTGGTGGGAGCCAACAAAGGGCAAAGGCACAGGTAACAATAATGAGCATCCGAACCACTCTTCTCTTGGAGGTTTCTAGTTGCGCTCGATTTCCTCTCAAAGTATTCACTCCAGGTGCAACATGGAACCATAAATTCCATGCAGTGATGGTATACAGGAAAGAAATAACGGCCAAGGGGATGAGATAGTTGACGACGAAAAGGAGGAGGTATATTCCTCGAAGAGCCCTATCTGGATCACCCAAGATGTAAACAGATAGCATGCAATAGGAAGAATTATTGTAGTCCTCCACGGTTTGAATAACAAGGAAAATGGACATGGAGACCAGTGACCCGATCCAAATAAATGGAACGGTTAGTTTAGGCTTTCGAAACCAAAGATGGCGGCGGAGGGGATGAACGATGGCATAGTACCTGTCGATCGCCATGAACGTCAGGCAGAGGATGGATGCTGTTATAGTGACATAGGCAGTGTATACAACACCTTTGCACATGACTTTTCCAAATACTCCCGGGATCATCCACAAACCGTCTGTATATATTGTGGAAATCGACCAGGGCATCACAATCAGGGTTACAAGCAAATCAGCGATGGCCATGTTGACGAACATAAAGCTTGTCAGTGATCTGACTTCAGGTTTCTTCCACACGATGTAGATGAGGAAGCCATTCCCTGCAAACGCTACGAGCATCGTGATGGCGTAGAGGACTGTCAAAACAATCCACTCGGTATCTGGTTTCATCTTTAGTTCCTGTTTTTTTCTGTTGCTAAAGTTTAATAGGATAAGACTGTTATTACTGAATAAATAATCAGTAAAGGGAACACTCATGGCCCCCCTAAAATCTTATTCGATGCCAACCTGGGATGTGGTGAGAGGAATCGATTGTGAATTCAAAGGAAACAAAAACATTTAATTTTTTTTTTTTTTTTTTTAACAAAGTTCACTTTGGTTGAGTCGATGATATTTCGGGACGCCACTGAAGCTGTGAACAGGAACGGAAATACTGGAAACAGGGCAAAGGAATGCAGCAGGACATTTTGATTTTCTCCATAAATAACCCTAGTGAAAAAATCTTAGGGTGCGTTCCTTTGGGAGAATCCGGATCAGGATTTCTGATCTGTGGCGTTCCTTTCGAGCAAATCCATTTTCAGATCAGTGATCTATCAAATCCACTCTGGACAAGGATTCGTCGGTTCACTGATCTGCGTGATCTAAAGACGGATCATTGGATCACTGATCCAACGCGTTCCTTTAGGCGAAGGATCCGAAATTAATCATTTTGCCCAGCGGTGCTCAATTTCAAACTAGTAGGTACCTCATATATTGACCGGAAAGATTGTTGGCAATCCTCCACAAATTCTGCGATAAACACGAAATAAAATCGATTTTGTAATGTTAAATCGATCGGCCACTGATCGCAGGCATTCAGGGTTCTCCAGTATCCATATCGTAGTCAATATTTGCTTCTATTTTAATTCCATCGTTTGAGTTTACCATGAAAAAATGTGCTTCTAATATGCTAAAAGCCCGTGCAGTAAGACGAGCCATTGAGGGAAGAGCTCAATAACCCACGTACATACACAAGTCTTAAAATAGCGTACTTTTTTGGAATTCTCTGAGAGCTCGTCTAAAACTCCGTTCCTTTCATGCGCCGTGATCTGTGTGATCTTAGTAATGAAGTCATGGTTAAGCATTTCTGCATAGATGTATTAAGTATTCTCATCCTTAAAATATATAAATACTGGTCTTCGTTGTTGGTTTGCCTTTATGACGAAAGCGTTTCTAATTTGTCATCTTCTTATTTGTCGTTTTCCGTCCCGATGAATAAAGATAACTTTCAGAAACAGTTTTTTTTTTTACTATTTTCAATTTTCTGCACGGTTCCTTCATTTGTTCGCATAATAACAATAACGAAAATTATCAGAAAAATTATCAGAAGGAAACGATAACAATGTATGATATCTTATTGAAGACACCGTTGGCGCATGTATATAATTATTTTTGATGGACTGTAACGTTGTTAGAATTAGTTTGGAAACAGGAAATCAATCTGCCTATATATTCGCCTTACAAAGTCAACTTGTTTCCCTCCAAATTGTTGTGAGTTAAGAAGCGTTGAACGTCTCATGGCAGTTGAACGTACCTGCGATAGAATGCACTGAAGTCCGCTGTCAGCAAACAGACTTGTAGCCTCTTATTACTAAAGGAAGATTAAAAAAAGGAAAAAATAACATTTCAACCGCACTGATCCGAGCGTTTTTTCAGGTTGATCTGAAATAAGAAACACGGTAAACCTTTGGAGATCGATAAAGTTGCTTCGCCTGTCCAACGGTTTGAGAATTCAATGGCCCGAGACTGAGGAACCCTGATGAACTAAAGAGGTTATTCCTGATCCCTTCCCTTTTTTAACCATTTCAAAATGATTTGCTATGAATATTAATGCGGGTCTCGGTCGCATCTCTTCTTGACAGCTGGACAGGAATATCAAACATAAATGTTTGCGTGTGGGAGTCCTCAAATGGATCTCAAATCCAACATGCCTCATATCAATTTTCAAGACACGTACAACACGGGCTTTGTCTTCCGCTTTGAAAGTCACAGAAAAACTACTTAGAGCTCAGTCAAGAGGTCAAACTTATGAACACCGTTTAGAAGCTATTTGTCTTCAAAGCAAGCCTTATGTGATAGATTTGAGTTAAGTTACATAGAGGCAGAGTATTTTTTATGGATGTTACCCATAATTTATTGAATAGGGATAATTATTGATTTACCATCAAATTAGGACATGTCACATGTCATTTACAGTCCGTTCCTATAAATAATCCCATTTTTGCCTTTGATCTCCCCGTTGATTTTAATTCATAAACTTGAGTATAAAAAACAAACAAACAAGAAAGAAACCCTCTTTACGTGCGGAAATTCAAGATCAACTCAAAAAGAAGATTTTGTACTTTCTCGCTAGTCTTAAGGCAGGTGCTCCGTATTTTAAAATTCATTTTAGTGGGTAATTAGCCAAGTGGTCTCACGAACAGTGTGACGAACCAAAGAGAAAGTTGCCTTCGGTGGAATGAACAATTTCAATGTAATCTAGGAAAGTGAAGGAAATCTGGGGAAATTGCGAAATTATGTTCTACGTATGTCATTGTACTTCTTTGTGAATTTGTCGGTTTGTTCTTGATCATGAGCAGCTGTGAATCAATGACAGACCTTCAGTGGGCTCTATTAGTTCGACAAAAAAATAATGCACTGGGCAAATAACACGCAATTAAGTTTAATAAAAAAAATGATAATTTAGCTTTAAGTCAATGGCGTCTTGGAACGCAAGGTTTTGTTATTTAGAATTCTATGGTGATTGATCGTAACAATGCACAAAAAGTGGAGACAAATTCCTTATAAATTTGTTTCCTTACACTGTGTTTTCATAGCCTGCATAATCATGGGAAAGCACACGTCACATTTCGGATCACTTTAATGTCAAAATTAAAATGTTAAAAACGAGAACTTTTCCAATATTTTTACCTCAATGAAACCAACATTTCAACGTTCCCTACAAAATCAAAACAAATCTCAATTCTTGTACTTGTTGTGCCTGAGTAAATACTTGTTTAATAGAACACAAACGAAAAGCTCTCTCTCATGAATTAATTGATATAGTTTCCAATCGTTGTTTCTTTAATTTGACTGCAAGAATCTGTAGTCAACTTTGGCCTTTATGTTTAAAGGTGCAGTTTCTACATTTCCCCAAGAGTCTCCATCAGCCTGACTGTTAATAAAATAGTTCAATTAATGTTTGATGGATGGTGCATTGACAGGGGATAGGAATAGCGCTTTGACGCGGCGCTTTGCAGCTTTACATTTCCTGAACTAATCAATTCCTAATGATTCAAGTTTAGGAATACAGCCTTTTTTTTCAGTTTTTGTCAAGATCATGTCGCATTCATATCGAAAGAAGCAGCCAGAATAAATATTTTTTGCGTGGCGCTATACAATAAGTATAGGAAATGCTTTTGTGAAAAATTATCTTCAAAACCAGCTTCTGCGAGGTAATTTGACGCTGAACAGCTAGGACCACACAATTATTTACCTTCAGCTTTTTGGAAGACAAAAACGTACGGAAAGTTTCTCTGCTTTTTGTTCAGGCGCAAAAGAGAAAACTTGGCGAGAACGAAAGCTAATTCAGTAAAAAAAATTGTGCATGAACACTCTTTCGTTCAGATGCAAATTGACATAGGATCTTTAGCATAATAATCTATCTTACAAGAGACATTAAATTTAAACAAGATATTGCGCCCGTTTGGCCCTTCGCTAATACTCGTATGGTTGAGTAAGTGTTGGAATAAACTTGGAACATAAGCACCAGCTCAGCTTAACCAAGGCGAAATATTTCAAGTCTCCGTAGTTAAGAGGCTGTCTCTCTTATTTCCACCCGGTCAATTTTGCGTCAAAAATAATTTTGCCTGAAACTCTGTTAACAGAAAGACTTTACCTAGGAAAGAACTAAATTAGATTTGGTTTGATTCGAAATAATTTTCTGACTGCATTACGGGCCATAATTATTTCCCAGTCCGTAGGGACCGTCGCGACGTCTCGAAAATTGAAAAATGGGCATATTTTGTAACGTTGTAAAATATTTGATTCGCATAGTTAAGTCACAGAATTTATATCAGATTGCTTAAAAACCTTTCTAGTTTGCCAAGAAAGTTAGAATTTGCCCTCTCAACATATTTGAAAAGGCGAATTTTAGCATATTCTGACCACTAGAAATCGCCATCGGTCGATGGCCGAAAATAACCTTGATTTAGACGCTAAGTTTTGGGATTTGGGACCTAGTTGACGATTCTATCCTACACAGCCGTTAAGTTTAGACCTTTATAGGCAAAAATATGCAAAAACCCCTGTACGTTTTCGATTTTTCAAAAGTTATGACCGTTTGAATCAGCACATGTACGAGCATTCGCGATTTTTTCGCCTACACCAAAATCGAACCACTGGAGCAGATTTCGCCATAAATACAGCTTACCCGCTTTGCAGCCCGGCTTCATGGCTCACTTCAGAGTTTTTCTAATAACCAAATTGGTTATTAAAATCCAAAAATCCATGATAACTTCAACAAATAGCTAGGTATTGCCTTCGAAAAGTAGGCGGCATCCATCGTGATTCGTGGTATCAAAACAAATGCCGGAATTGGCCACATTTCGCGGTGAATCACCCATTTAACATCGCTGCAGAGCTGAATTTTTTCCAAAATCAGAATATAAACTCTCCATGTCTGGAAGCTGAGGGAGAAATGAAGGTTTTAGGCTTCTGAAGTAAAGAAATAATCGCTTAAATTTAGATCCAGTTCAATATTATACTGTTCTCACAAAGGTCCGCACAAAAGAGAAGACCGCTGATAGCTTGTGCCGTACGTTGTGCCATATGGTTTTGTTTTGTATCCCAAAGCAGAAAAATTTTGGATGAAAAGAATAAATGCTTTTACCTGGAGTTTGATATCATATAATTAATAAATCAATTTCAAATATCCTGAGCTTGCTTCTCTCGGTTCCGCGTCGATTGTGTCCACAGAACAGCAACCTGTCGATAGCCGGAGAAATCGGCTGCCAACGTGTAAAAAACTTGACACATGCTTCGTATGAAGAGATGTTGTAAGTGTTGCTTTTGGTAAATTTTCAACCGATTTCATCAAAACATTTCACTGACTACTAGATATTATAATATATTACACTATAACAACGCCGTCAGAACTTGATATCGGAAGTAAAGGTAGTTTGTATCTGTAGAGCATATTCTACACTTTCAGCCACCGTATAAGACATTGTTTACATAAGTCTACTGGGAAACACACTGACAATCACTAATCACGTCCGACAGTTTGTCTATGAGGATCTGTTTTTTGTCCCTCAATTTTACAGGGATCTCAAAATGACTACAGATGGCTCTCAACAAAACCACATTGAATTTCTGAAGTGTGTTATTGTGGTAACGTTCACAGAGGTCCTACGTATCGTAGCAGATTGGATGTGAGACTTTGATCTCTTTGTTAACTTTGTCTACCAGATCTTATCTCTCGGAATTTTCCTGGACGCATTGGATATCTTCCTCCTCATCCAGTGATATCCCGATCACACCCTGATCTTTTCGCTGCATTGCTGCTAGCCGGGAGAAAAAGCTCTGAACTTGGTTCTTTGTCAGCCACTGTTCTCTAGTGAACAAACGTGCATTTGATTCATTTTTCGCATTTCGCATGTCCACTGCAACTTGGGCGGGGTCGGCCTTTCGCCCAGTTCTTTCTCCAAGTTTAAACCGTGCCGTTTGGTATTCTTTTACCTTCTCTGAAAATCTAACGCTGCCCCTTGGTTTGCTTACGGCCCAACCTGTTCGTAAAGACGAGTGGGGCGAAGTATCCACGGGAGAAGTGAGTGGTGTACTAGAATCTAACGAACAGCTCGAACACTCGATACCAGCGGTATCTATCGACGAGAACTTAAGGGCCCAGTCCCTTTTGATTGCATCATACTGGCTTTAACCTGCTGACTGTATGCTTTCCAACGTCCAGGTGCAGCTCCAGCTGCGAAAAGGTTTCGAACACTTCAACACATCCAAACACAGAGCATTCAAACAATGGCGTTGTACTCTCT